GACATTGGTTCACAAAACCATATAGGTTTCAAGTGTACAGCTCCATAAACATCATCTGTGCACTGCATCGTGCGCCCATCTCCCCAAGCAGAGTCTCTTTCCGCCCTCATCCCCCTTTGCTCACCTCCACCTAGCTCCTTCCCCTTTCCCTCTGGCTATCACCACACTGTTGTCTGTGTCTGTGTGTTATGTATATGTTTTTTGGCTAATCCCTTCACCTTTCGTTCAGTTCTCCCCACCCCCAACATCTGTCAGTCTGTTCCGTGTATCTATGCCTCGGTTTCTATTTTGTTCAGTTTTTATTTTGTTCATTAGCTTCCACGCATAAGCGAGAACATATGGTATTTATCTTTCTCTGACTGGTTTATTTCACTTTCAACAGAATAAGGCTCTTAAATGGACACTTCAGTGATGTTTACAAGGATGAGTGCATTATGTTTAGAAACAGAATGGCCATTGGTTTTCTGTAGCATGGTGCAAAAATGTAGATAAGTCCCATGAGCTGTTTTAACCATAAAGTAATCTGTAACAAACCACCAAAATTGAATAAACCAGAAATCTTGAATAAGCCGTACAAACAGAAAGAAAAGCAGTACAAAAATTAGTGCTGCTTGGGCAGCCCCTGATTTTCACGTGAGGGAAAGCTGGTGCTGCCATGGTAGAAAGCAGCTGTGCAAACTCATTATACAGGGAGGGGTGGGCAAAAGTAGGCTTACAGTTCTGAGTACACCATATAGTAATATTTGTGTTACTTATTATTGTTATTTTGTATCCTTACTTATGATTTATCTTTTAGGTAATGATGGCTGGTAATTTAACCTACTTTTGCCCACCTTGTATTTAGGAACTATTGCAGCCAATAAAAAGAATTCCACTCCTCTTTTAAATCACTATTTAAACTCTAATTGTGTATATGATTCTTTGACTGTTTCTCAAGATTTGGAAACATCTCCAAAAGTAAATTCACTAAAAACAAGGTGACCCTCCCTTTTTTTAACCCCTCAATTCCAAGGATTAATAAACACAAAATAACCTTTTAAAAGACCACATATATTTTTTACCACAATTTTTATTTTATTTATTTATATTTTTAAAATATGTTTTTATTGATTTTAGAGAGGAAGGGAAAGGGAGAGAGAGAGAGAGAGAGAGAAACATCAATGATGAGAGAGAATCATTGATCAGCTGCCTCCTGCACGCCCCCTACTGGGGAATCAGGCCCACAGCTCGGGCATGTGTCCTGACTGGGATCTGGTTCATGGGTCGACACTCAACCACTGAGACATATACTGGCTGGGCTTTATCGCAGTTTTTAAAAAAATCATTACATTGTGGGCTTTAAATGGGTGAATTGTATGGTATGTGAATTATATCTAGTAAACCTGGGTTTTTTTTGTTGTTTGTTTTTAAAATATATCTTTATTGATTTCAGAGAGAGGAAAGCAGAGGGAGAGAGAGAGAGAAACATCAATGATGAGAGAGTCGTCATTGATCCACTGCCTCCTGCACACCCCTGACTGGGGATCGAGCCTACAACCCAGGCATGTGCCCTGACCAGGAGTTGAACCGAGATCTCCTGGATCCTAGGTTGAGGCTCAATTGCTGAGCCACACCTGGCCGGGCTAGTAAGTGTATTTTTTAAAAAAGGACTCTACAGCCCTAGCCAGGTAGCTTAGTTGATTAGAACATCGTCCTGATACACCAAGGTTGCAGGTTTGATCCCCGGTCAGGACACATACAAGAAGCAACCACTGAATGCATAAATAAGTGGAACAACAAATAGATGTTTCTTTCTCGCCCTTCCCCCCCCTCTAAAATCAATTAAAAAATAAATTACATTAAAAAAGATTCTACAGCAGAAAACCAGATCTTTGCCCACATTGATGCCATAGAGAAACTCACTTTGGAAGCCATAACAATAACAGCTTGCTAGATATGTGCTACTGTATGTAGCCTTTGCTCATGCTCTTCTGAGGTTTCCAGTTCAGCATGCTATCTGTGAGCCAGTGACAGTGCGCATCTCAGCTTCATGCCTGCTGCTCAGCTGAGGACAGAGTGGGTGGTGAGGAACATGGATACAGATAACGTGGTGGTGACCCTCACATTATCCACTGGTTTAAAAGATGAAACTGAAGCATAAGGACTAGTCAGGAAATGTGTGCCAGCACATACTGAAGTAGATTGTATGGTGTGCGAAGATGAGTTCACAGTAGGAAGTTCTAGGACAGGAATCGGGCTTCATGGAGGTAGGAGGAACTGAGCTGGCCACTAATGGGTGGGTTCCATTGAAGAGAGAGGAAGGAAAATTCCAATCAGAAGGAAGGCACAAGAGATAGTATTGTGGATCCCAGAACCTCAGTTAACCAGTTTCAGTTCAGGGAGGCATGCCATTTAATTCCTCTTAGCTTTTGTTTCACTAAAACATGTTGATTCCTCAAGGGGTTGTGAGGCTTAAATGGAATAATATAATAGAGAAAACTTTGTGAAGTTTTGCAGGGAAGTTGCTTTGGAGCTGATGATGGAATATACATGTATAATGTGTGTAACTGAAGCTCAAGTAAAAGAATTCAGAATGTGGTTGCATTAGTTTCCTAGGACTGTTGTGACAAATTACCACAAATTACCACTGGGTGGCTTAAGACAACAGAAATTTACTCTCTCATAATTGTAGAGGCCAGAAGTCTGAAATTCAGCTTTCGGCAGGGTTGGTTCCTTCTTTGAGGCTCAGGAAGAATCTGTTCCATGACTATCTCCTAGCTTCTGGTGTTTGCTGGCAATCCTTAGTGTTCCTTGGCTAGAAGATGTGTCACTCCAGTCTTCCATCTTCACATGGCGTTCTCCCATGTGCCTTCCTATGTTCACATGGCCTTCTTGTAAGGACATACCAGTCATTGGATAAGGCCCACCATACTCCATTATCACCTCATCTTAACTGATTACACCTGCAAGGATCCTGTTTGCCAGTAAGGTCACATTCTGAGTTTCTGGGTGGACATGAATATTGAGAGAACACTTTTCAACCAGAAGTATCGCTGAATAAACTTGACCATTGTGTAATTTCTTTTTTCAAGACCACTGGAATTAAGTTGCCTTCATCAGTGTTTGCATCAGAGTTTGAGGAAGATGTCGGATTGTTAAATAAAGCGGCTCCTGTTTCAGGTGTGTTCAGTTTCTTTATTTTTTCAAGTGGATAGAGTTTTGTTTTACAAAAAGAAACTTCTGTGTAGCTTTGCTACTGATAAAGTGTTGAAACAATAGAGATGTGTCTGATTTAGATTAGAGATCATTAAGAAGGATGAGTGTGATCCTCCTTCTGTTCTTTTATTGTCATCCAATTCTTAGTCTTTGAAGTTCCTATTTAGAGAGGAAAGTGGGAAGATTTTTTTTGGTGATCTAGTGGGGGAATTTAATCTTGACCTAACCTCTTACAAAGGAAAGTGATATTCAATTAGCCTTACATACATATAGTGTAATCTTGAAAATACTTAATAAGTTAGCTTTTAAAAGTCCTCCCAAGCCCTGGCCAGGTGGCTCAGTTGGAGCATTGTCCTGTACACCAAAAAAGGCTGCGGGTTCAATTCCCGGTTAGGGTACATACCTAGGTTTCAGGTTCGATCCCCAGTCAGGGCGTGTATGGGAGGCAACAGATCACTGTTTCTCTCTCCCTCTCTCTCTAAAATCAATAAACATCCTCAGGTAAGGATTTTAAGAAATAAAAAACAAAATTCCTAGGTGAGGATTAAAAGAAAAAAAGTTCTCCCAAGAGTATGGAAGTATTATTATATAGAAGTCCCATTTATCCATCAGTTTCACATACACTGGAAAATTGTCATGTCTGTGGGGGTTTTTTTGTGAGTACTAACATTATATTTTAGAACAAACACAGAAGTTCACAGAGGTAGTGTTTGGAATTTTCTCCTAAATTGCCTTAGATTTTTTTCCAATGGTTAATATATTTTATTGAGATATAATTGACATGTAACATTACATTAGTTTCAGGTATACAACATAATCGATATTTGTATATGTTGTGAAATGACTACCACAATAAGTATAGTTAATTAACCTCATCACCATATATAGTTACAACATTTTTTTGTGGTGAGAACTATTTTTTTAATTTATTTTAAATAATTTTTAATTTTTCAATTACAATTGACATACAATATGATATTAGTTTCAGGTGTATAACCCAGTGATTGGGCATTACTAAGGGATCAGCCCAATATGTCGAGTACCCACCCATCTGACACCATGCCTAGTTACAACAGTATTATTTACTGCATTCCCTGTGTTGTACTTTACATCCCCGTGACTGTTCTATAACTGCCAATTTGTCCTTAATCCCCTCACTTTTTCACCCAGCCCCCTAACCCATACTGAGTAACCTTGCCATGTAGCCTTTATTTATTAATTCATTCTATAGGATTTTGAGTTGCAACTGTTTGACAGTCTTGGGTTAAACCAGAATAAAGCATAATCCCTGAGCACAGGGAATTTACCGTCAGTTGTGGAAGATGACAGTGAATGGGCAGTTATGATTACAGTACAAATGAGTAAATGGTAAAGTACCAAACAGGTCTGGGGGCGTTGGGTGAGGCATCCCAGAGGAAGTCATGTCCAAGTTGATTTCTTGGGGCTAAATTAAGAGGTAGATGAAGGAGGGCGGGGTGGGGAGGAAAGGAGAGGATATTCCAGACCGAAGAAGGTCTGTGTGCAAAGACAGGACAACTCGAGTAGAGGAAACTGCACACAATTAGCAGGCCTGGAATGAGGGGTCAGGATCACTATGAAAGGAGGCTGGAGAACCAAGCAGAAGCCATGTTGTGAGGAAGCCATGTCAGTTTATAGGTTTGGACTTGAAACTTTTTCTTGAGCTTTGTACTTTTTTTAATTATAGGAGATAAAGAAACAGGTTGGGATTTACTAAAATCTCGTCTGAAAAGACAAGGTTTAATAGATGACAAATACTTAATTTGAGTTACTTCTAACAGGTTAGAGTTATTTCTGACAGGTAAATTTAAAGTCCAGTTTCTTCTTGCAGGCCAAAGCTTTGAATTTTGCTTAATAGACAGTGTAATAGTGTAGATCTATAATGGAAGGGTTTTTTCCCCCTTTTTTATTTCCTTGCAGTCATCAGCTCTATTTCTCTCACTAGACTGAATTTCTTAGAGTTCTTAATCATTCTTTTATGCTCTGGCATATAATAGGTACTCAGATTATGTTAGTTAAAGGAAGGAATGATACTTTCTTGGGAATTATTATTTAATTTTTATTTTTTGTCTAGGGCCTCGGCTGGATTTTGATCCTGACATTGTCGCAGCTCTTGATGATGATTTTGACTTTGATGATCCAGCTAATCTACTTGAAGATGATTTTATTCTTCAGGCCAATAAGCCAACAGAAGAAGAGGGAATGGATGTATGGTATGTGTAGCTTGTTCCAAAACAGGATGACTGTTGCTTTAATAGGATAATAACAGTAGAACATTATAACTGAAGGAGACCTTCGGAACTTCAGTCTGAATTCTGTATTTCAGCAGACAATGTGCACTGTGAATTCTTTACAAACCATCAGTAGGTGGGGCTAAAGCCTAAGCTGCCTGATAGCTAATTCATTCCTTTCCCAACCCTGCCAGACTGGTCAGGCAGCACAGCTGTTCTCTAAACAGGAATCCTCCCTGAAGCAGTCTCAAGTTTGACTGGGTAAAGTGACTGGGATCTGTTGTTGTTCAGGTTGTTTTGACAGTTAATTTATGACTCTGGCTCTAGGAAAGCTGAGGCTGAAGATGGCAGTGAGTGGGAAGATACGGACGATGAGGTCGGAGGCAGTGGTGACAATGACTATGGCTCTGCAGGCTCGTTCTCAGATGAGGGAGTGTCTGCCCCTGGGAAGCCTCCGGGGTCCCTAGAACACCACTTGTTCTGGGAAGAGGAGACAAAAAGTCGCTTTACTGAGTATTCTATGACATCCTCAGTCATGAGGAGAAATGAACAGCTGACCCTACATGATGAAAGGTTTGAGAAGGTAAGGTCCCAATTAAGGGCCTTTTCATATTAGTTCCTAGTAAATTATATATGACACTGGAACCTAAAGCTAGAACTTTCAGCATTGGAAACAGTCTATAACCTCTGTTAAAACAGACCATAAAGCCACCCTAATTTTAATTCTGGAAAGAATGCATGTAGGTCAAAAGATAGCAATTACACCTTCTGACTTTGCTCTTAGAATGGTGACATTTTGATTCCAAACTCCTCAGTCACAATTCCTGAGATATACTATTTCCTCAAGCATTGGCCTGAGCATAAACGAAATTCCATAATTTTTGTGTGTGTGTTTTTGCTCACTGATATATCCCAAGGCCTAACGTGGTATCTGGCATGTGGCAGTTTAAACTTTGACCGGCTCAGTAAATGGTGGGTGGATAGGTGGGTGGCTTCCTCAGATAAAGATTCTAACTTCACTGCATTTCAGTAAGTACTGGTTTCCCTCCTCTCTCAAAGAAATAGGCGAACTGTGACTAGAAACAACCTCACTTCAGGAGCTACACCACCCCCCTGCTTACTTTTACAAAGTTTGATAGTGTGAACAGCACTGATATAGTAAACATCTTCTAAAAAAGGGATGAATTTATACATTAGTTTGTATAATTAATGCATTTGAAAGTATCTGTAAAATATCCCGAGGTAAAGATTTCTGCCTAGCATTGTGCTCTCCAATGGAGTAACTGTTGTCATTGTCATATTAAATAGTAGCCTATTTGCAGTCCTAAGGTGCTGGGTAGGATGTCTTCCACATCATATTGTTATGGTGCTGAATCTCTGCTAATATTTTCATGGTAGTTGTGATCTCATGGTAGTGCTTATATTGTGTAGGAATAAAATCAATGTAAAAATGACATTTAAATGCTGTATTCTTCCTGAATACATTCATTTTCATGGTATCTTTTCTCTTTATATTCAAGTTTTATGAACAATATGATGATGATGAAATTGGAGCTCTGGATAATGCTGAATTGGAAGGTTCCATTCAAATAGACAGCAGTCGCTTAGAGGAAGTTGTGAATGACTACTATAAAGAGAAAGCAGAGAAGTATGGGACTTTTCCTTGTTTACCTGCTTTTTATTCATTTTCAAGTAAAGTAATTGGCACGTGAATCGAAAATCACCCAGTCAGACTCCATATGAAGATGGTACATTTTCCATAACCTTTGGCATTAAGAGTTCTGAAGCTGAACATAACAGTGAGTGGGGCCATTCTGAGAACCAGTTTCTCCGTAACTTGTCGTGAGAGTAATGATCCTAACTGAGGGTTATGGGATGTTGACTGGGCCGCAAGCCTCTTGAGAATGAGAGAGAGAATGAGAGTGAGAGAGGTGCTTACAGCCTCTGGTTGGAGAGTGAGTTGACTTCCGCTCTCCATCCTGCTGCAATGCCAGGCGTCTGAAAAGTAAATATTTATGGCTCACAGAAAGATAAGAGTGTATTTCTCCAGCTGGATTAGTAGAACTTTCCAGCCACATATTTGGTGAATCAGCACCCGCATTAGGTGATTTCTCTGAGAAACTAATGGGGTGTTTACATGGGCCAGACAGGTCTGATGTTCCATGATTGTGGTCACACAGATCCTGCTGCAGGGTAAGAGCTGCATACTTGGAGTGAGTTATTTGAATACTTTGGGGAGACAGATGGGCCAGTGCTTTTTGAGGCTTTAAAAAAGATTATAGTTTAGAAGAGCTGATGTTATGTGTAATATGTTACATCCTTGCAAAGATGCAGATAGGTGTTTCCTTCCTGTCAGCAGAATGAATGTCCAGAACCTGCTGGAAGCGAGAGGCAAGGCAACATAAAACTAATTGCGACAGGAAATGACAAACAGGACACCTGAGTGTGTGGATTTTTAAAAATGCTGTTGTTTCCCTAGCTCTTTAAGTGCAAGTTGAGTAACATACAGTAACATGGGTGGTGTTCTTTTTTCTCCTCCTGTCTTCATTTTTGAAAACTTAACCAAAAGTTGTGTAAAACTGAGTACTCTTGAATCCTGCGAGGATCAGGACCAGCCCGTGAATGAACTTGATGGGTCTGAGGAGGAAGAGGTGGTTACTGTAGTTCTTGAAGACGTCAGAGAAAAGTGGGATTGCGAATCCATTTGCAGTAAGTGTTTTAGTGTCCATTTTACTGCTGTGAAGTACATCAGCATTTTGAAAAAGTATGTATGTTGTGGAAATAATTGGGGAAAAGAAATATTTCTAAGTTATAAACAATATAAAAACATTTGTAAGAGAGACTCCAGTATTCATTTGAACTGTGAAAGCACTAAACCTGGAAATATAGTAGGAACTCGGCAATGTTTTGCTGAACTGGAAGTATACTTAGTAATACATGACTTTTTTTTTTTAGGTACATATTCAAATTTGTATAACCATCCACAGCTTATCAAGTATGAACCAAAGGTAAGTTTTGATGTCCTGACCTGTTTGAAGTACACAGTGCAGGAGAGGAAGTGTACAAGTTATTTTCTCACAGTGGCCTTATCTCTAGTGGCTGCCAGCACCATTAGGAAAAGCAACAACAATGTGTCGTACGTGAGCTATTTTTTACTAGGAATGGGAAATAACCCTAATGCCATTGTATTCTTATTTCAGCCCAAACAAATCCGAATATCTGCTAAGACAGGAATACCTCTCCATGTCTTGCCTCAGAAAGGCTTCACCGCAAAGCAAGTTGAACGAATGCAGATGATCAATGATGGTGATCTGCCCAAGGTGTCAACCCAGCCACGCTCTAAAAATGAAAGCAAAGAAGATAAACGAGCAAGAAAGCAAGCTGTAAAGGAAGAGCGCAAGGTAAAGGACCTTCCTCAGCCGTGAGAGTTCAGAGAGCTGGTGGCAGGAGGTCATGGGAATTTTCTTTTCTAAAATTGGTCTGCACCAGTTTGAAGATTTGAATAACATGAATGTATTCTTGTACAGGAACGGAGAGTAGAGAAGAAAGCTAACAAATTAGCCTTCAAACTGGAGAAAAGAAGGCAGGAAAAGGAGCTGCTGAACCTGAAGAGGAATGTCGAGGGTCTGAAGCTGTGACGGTGGGACATTTGGGTGAGGTGCACTCCCCTTGGGGTTGCTCGTTGCATTCATGGGTGAACAAGCATCTTCAGCGAGACCAGACTGATCTGCCATTTTTCCTGGCTGGTGTTGAAAAGAAAACAGCACACTATTTGTATTTATACCATACCAGCAAGTTTGTAAATACTGTAATGTTTTTAAATTTAATATGATAAGCTTAGGTTTGTTCTGAAATAAATGATTTCATGAATGTGAAATGTTTGGATAAATTAAATAAAAATGTCTTCATAATTTAAATGGTATCGTGTGTTCTTCATTTATTTGTATGGTTGTCCCAGTTGCCTTTTGCAGATGTTCTCAGCTATTTCTTTGAAACCGTTCCACTCCTTTTCAGGAGTTAAGTGGTTTAATTTGCTGTATGTGGAAAAGTGGCCCATTTAAACTAATTTTGAAATGCTGAGTGGGAAGAAGAGGTTTTCTGAGGAGGTTCCACTGGTAGGAAGCTGGTGCAAAAGTTATTTCAAAAGGATGGTAAACTGAGTATTAATGTGGTTGAGACTCAGTGACTGGATGACTTGCTTTTGGAATTCAGGAACAGTGAAGACAGGAAACAGAAGAAATAATCAAGAAAATTTCCTTGGCTTCAGTGAGTACCTGGCTCAAAACCAGAGATACTCAATTTAAACTAGAAAGTTTGTCTTTTAAACATTATTTAATGCTTGGAACTATTTATACTTGATGAAAATACATAGTTGAAAACTCCCTGCTTTTCAATGAGTTGGGTGGTGGTGGTTCTTTAATTTCTTCAAACATTTTAAGGCTAAAGCAATGACACCATCACAATTGTTAATTATTTGGTAAACTTTGACTTCCTTGCAATAGACAAGTTGTCAGTGCCCCTTGTTCATGTGTCCATGACTAATGTGTTATCTGGACCGTTCTGGAAAAGAAATCTGTGGACACTGTTGATCTGAGTTGGGAACAGAATGGCTACGGCAGAACCATTTCTAGCAGGTGAGCTGCATTTGATGTCTAAGTTACTGGAATGTGTCTGTACTTCATTTCATTCTGTCTTTTCCAAAGTTGGTATTATCTTGTTCTCTATGTTACCAATTTTAAATCTAAGTAGTTATTGTAGGATTTTTAAAAGAGTTGTGAAAAACAATAGCTTTAGGTACTCTACCAACATCAATACAAAAAACTTGGCTGAAGAGCTTGTTACAAAAGCGGGATGCTGGCGTATATTTTTAAATGCCAATCTGAAGAAGCAAAGGGCCAGGTGATGTATTGGGACTGTATTAAATCGTAAAAGAATTGACCTTTTACTTTGGTAGCTATTGCCATTGAAGGTTCTCAAAACCAGCACGAATCTTATAGACATGGAAAGTTACTTTGACTTGGTGCTGTTCAGATTCCATCTTAGGAGCTGCTAGTTTCACTGTACCTCCCCCAGAGGGTTTAAATCAGCACAACACATATTTTGCAATTTGGAGAATGTGACTATAAGCCACGAGTCTTGGTGAAACATAATGTGATTTATGTGGATTATCCTCCAAACTTAAAGATTTTAATTTTATGCTTACACAGTATTTTGAATGATTTCATAACATTTTGGAATATTTATGATTTGAGTCATCTATAAACAATGCTTGGGAACTTAACATAAGCTCCATGCTAAGTGTTGGGAGTCCAAAGTGATAAAGGGGGATTTGCCTTCAAGGACTGCACCATCTGAGGAGGCAGGGTGTGTGCAGCAAAATAGGACTAGCAGTGCCAAATCCCTGATAAAGTACTACTTGAAAGGATCTGGATATGTGCTGTTCCCCCTAAAGTGCTCTTACTGCAAATAAACCTTTTCAAGGCTGTGCTCAATTGTCACCTTCCCATAAACTTCTCCCTAACCATGTACTTCAAAATAGCACATACATCCCTCCCCTCACCGGAGGAGATGTTTATTGATTCTAGAGAGAAAGGAAGGGAGAGAGAGAAAGATTGATGGTTGCCTTGATCAGGGATCGAACCCGAAACCTACGTATGCACTGACTGGGAATCAAACCGGCAACCTTTTTGGTGTACAGGATGACACTCCAACCAACTGACCCACCCAGCCAGGGCCTACCCTGTATTTATGTTCCTTCCCTGCTTTATGTTCATAGCACCTATTGGCATCTGAGAGATTTTTCACTCTCCCCTCACTAAAACTGAAGGCAGGGAATTTGTTTACCACTTTATTCCCAGGGTCTGGAATAGGGCCTAGCTTTTGGTAAATGATCACTAAGTATATAAATGAATGGATAGTAGTTAGGAAAGACTTTCCTGAAAAGAATTGCTTAAACTTGAAGGAAACAATGAGAAACAGCCTTAATATTTGCAAGGAAAAAGAAGGCCCAGGGCATCCCAGGTAGGGGGCAAAATCATGAAGAACTTGCCTGCTTTATCTTAAGGACCTATTTTGTTTAAATTCTGTCCATGAGTGGTATAAAGTCACTTTTTCAGTTATTTTAGAACTGTTATATTACAAATCAAACTACCAGAAACTATTACATTTGGGTATATGGCCTGTGGTACATTGTATCCACACCTCCATTGTGATGTCATCAAGTCACCTCAGGTGAAGGACAGAACTCTAGCGCCTTGTAACTTTACTGATGCATTATCAATACTTTCATGTTCCTTCTTCCTGTGTTGATGTTAGTATGTTTTGGCCAGCTTGTCTGTTCCAGTTAATGCAGGAGAAGGTAAAAATTCTAGTGGCCTCTTAATTTAATTGTGAAGCATAACAGGAGACTTTATAATAAACATACTCACTATTCAAGTTAAGGAATAGAACCTATGGGCCACCTGTGGGCCCATCTTCAGTTTCATTCCACTGTCCTCTTATGTACTATACAGATTTCATCACCTGTATGGTATCCCTAAACACAGAATTTTGTTTAGTTTTGAACTGAGAAGTGTAACTAGCTCTGCGAAGGCAATATTTGCCACCATTTGATGAAGACATCCTTGAGAGATGGGTTGAATAGCCTCTGAGTCTGATGGAGCATCTTGGATCTCCTGTACAAATATCCTTAAAAGTCGTATGCTTGTTTTATATTTTCTGCTGCTAGGCTCACCTACCTCCATCTCTCAAGATCAGTGCAGCACCTTCCCATGGAGTGGAGTATCCTCAGTTGATCTGGACATCAGAATGTGAAGGGGAGAGCAGGCATTTCATTGGGACATGTTCAAACAAGTCAAGTATAGCACAATGGGAGCCAGATATACTAGGACATAACTGTTCTCAGGTTACAAAGGCAGTGAATATCTTGGTCGTGATAGTCTTCAACATGTTGGTGTCTTTTTTTTTTCTTTTTTTTTCAAAATATATCTTTATTGATTTCAGAGAGAGGAAAGGAGAGAGAGAGATAGAAACATCAATGATGAGAAAACCATCGATCGAGCCCGCAACCCGGGCATGTGCCCTGACTGGGAATCGAACCCTGATCGCCTGGATCCTAGGTCGACGCTCAACCGCTGAGCCACACCCAGCTGGGCATGTTGGTGTCTTGAATCACACACCTCCACCCTGGACTGGTCGCTCTCTCGTTTCGGTGCCTCGCTGTTGTCCTGGGAGTTTCCTTCTCTCCCTCCTGTGTTGAATTGCCCATTCGCTCACCTTGTTGTGGAGCACGTCCTCCAGTAATACTTGAGTCAGGGTATACTTGAGACCTTGCATGTCTGGAAATGTATTTATTCTACCTGCATATTTGATTGATGGTTTGGCTGGGTATAAATTTTGAGTTGTAGGTTATTTTCCTTCTGAAGTTTAAAGGATTTGTCTCATTTATTTCCATTTTTACTGTTTGGAACCTGAAGCCATTCTAGTCCCTGACACTTCGTATGATACTGTGTTTTGTTTTGTTTTTTTCTCTAAATCCATAGAATTTCTAGCCTCCAGTGTTCTAAAGTTTTACAATGATGTTGACCTATTTCCATGCTTTCAACCAGGGGGCTCATGTCCTTTCACGTCTGGAAATGTTTAAAAATTATTTTTATTTCATTCCTCGTGTTTTCTCATTTTCTCTCCTGAATCCCTGTTATTTGGAGTAGGACCTTCTGGACAGGTACTCTAATTGGCTTTTATGTCTCTCCCATTTCTATGTCATTTTACTTTGCCTTCTGGGAGATCTCCCTAATTTTATCTCCCAACCTTTTATTGAGTTTGTAATGTCGTCTGTAAGTCTTTTAATTGCCAAGAGCTTTAATTTTCCTTTAAATTCCTTTTTTGTTTGTTTTGGGCTTATGTGCTAGAGACTTTCTGCAGATCTTTGGAGAGTTATGTCTGTCTGTCCATGATTAAGATTGGAGGGAAAAAACACTGGCAACTCTAAGGGGATGAGTAGCATTTATTTATGATTTTGAGCTTTATTGTAGGGTGATCTGGATGAGCTGTTTGGGACTCTCCCCAATGTCAGCATCTTCGCTCCTTCCTCATGGAAAAGTTATATTCCCAGAGAAGTTTTTATTCTGCTTTGGGAGTAAGGGACTAGCAGGCAGAGTTCTGTGAGCCAAGTAGAGGAAGGTACATGTGGAGTATTCTCTGCCCTCAGCAACACTATTCATGAGATTAATCACTAGATTATATACACACATATGTGTGTGTGTGCATATGCACATATAAATACATATACAGTTAATCCTCGTTAATCAGAGAGTCCCTATTTGCAAATTTGCCTGCTCGCAAAGTTTGTAACCCTAAAATAAAAACTCATGGTGCTTCCATAGTTCACTCACAGACGTGCATGTAGCAGTTAAACGGTGGAGTTGCCTGACGTGCTCATTCCCAGCTGAGGCAGAACAAACCTAGTTTCAGCCCATGCTGTAAACAAGTGTCCTTTTCACGGTCCATGGAGTGCCACATTTTTCATGTTTTTGCACTTTCTCTTGGTGATTTCACCGTCGAAAATGGTTCCCCAGTGTAGCGCTGAAGTGTTATCTCGTGTTTCTAAGCACAGGAAGGCCCTGATGTGCCTTACGGAGAAAATATGTCTGTTAGGTAAACTTCATTTGGGCATGAGTTATAGTGTTGGCTGCGAGTCAGTGTTATTGAAGCAACAATATTTGTTTAAATAAGTTCTCTTTAAACAGAAGTACATAAAACAAGGTATGTATTGATAGATTGATAACAATTTCTGACCAGAGGCTCACAGGAATCTAACCCTGTATTTCCCCTCAGAATAATAAGGCCAGTGTTTGCTCACTTAGGGCTCACAGAGACTTTATGGAACGTAACCTCCACAAATACTGAGAATCAGCCG